TTCTCGTACTGGGGAAGGGAGTGTGATTGCAGCCAAATGCTTATTTTCAGTAACAGAATTATTATTGGAGACCTTTTGGTATTACAGATCAGGTGAGGACGAGTCCCTTCATCATAGCAGGCATTGCTCTGGGAGCCAGCAAGGCACCTACACAGGATAGAGCCTTGGGGGGAAGGAGGGAGCCAGCAGCCCCTCTTGTGATCCTTCAGGAGGTGGGAGGCTTAAGCCGGTGACCGAAATGCCACAATTCAGTGATTTCTTTGGGCTCTGCAGCTCTTGCAGCCCCAGGGGGAAGAGGAGATGACAGGACTGTCAAAATGACAACAGTTTTCTTTTAATCCACTCCCTGTGCCAAGTCTGTGAGCGCTGGAACACGGGGAGCCTCGACTTTGAGAACGGAGAGAGAGGCACGGGGCAAAACTGCCTGCGGTTTTGATGTCCTGATCTGCAGGGAGTTCGTTCTTGCTGATCTCACTGGAGGGCCAGGCTCGGAGTGGAGGTGCTGCCCAGATGTTCAGCTCATTTGCATGCTTGGCTGACGGGGAGCAGAGTCTGTGAGCTCCAGGGTGGTTTGCTGGCTCCCTGCCTCCTGTCCTGGAGCTTCCCCTTCCACAACCTGTGTTTCTTTGCCCCACGTCCTCACCTTGCGGAGGAAGCTGTGCCGAGGCCATCCTGAGGATCAGTCAGAGCATGGTTGCAGTGCAAGAGATGGCTTGGTCTGGTGGATAATGTCCGCCTGAACCCATCAAGGTCTTGCTTGGAGATGGTCTCATTAAAGCCCGGGTGCTGAGTCACTCGGTGTGTTCTGCCATCCAAATGCTAATGTATAAACACATCCGTTTGCACAGAATCTCTTGCCAAGTACTTGGGTTTACAATGTTAACAGCTTTAAATAAATTCTTCCTGGAGATAACTGATTTATTAGGCTCCTACCCCTCTGAAGGCAGAGCTAGTCACAATTAACAAACAAAGCAGCATGAGGCAGTTATCATTCTGGGTAATAAATCTCTCGGTGTTGGGTACCACTTGCTAATGGGCTTTGGAAGTGCAGCTATACGTCAGTCAGAGCGTGCCTTCAGCCTGGGCAGCGTGTGCGTGCGGTGCAGTAGCTGTCAATGTGCTGCAGTGGTGATTGCTGTCTGTGCACCCAGGGCTGTGCTGGGGGGAGTGATGGGTTTGTGATGAGCAAGAGGCAGCTCTGCGGTGGGTGTAGGGTCCATCCCTGCCCCGCTGCTGGGGTTGGGTTGGTCGCACGTTGTGTCTCGGCAGGACTTGCAGGTGTAGAAACCAAGGATGTTGCTTCAGTGGGGTTACTGCTGCAGAAGGGCAGCGGGTCAGTGGTTTCCTTCTCTAATGAACAGAAGCGTGTGAGCTCCGGGGCTCAGCGTGCTGTGGATAAATGAGGCGGTTTGATTCCTTTGCTGATGCTCTTGGGGGACCCAGAGCCTGGAAAAGGAAATGGCTCTGCACTGGGAGTGGATGCAGGGATTAACTCTGCAGGTATCTGCTCTTTCCCCTCTGCTCAGGGGTTACCAGTTGCCCTCAGTCCTTACTTCCCTGTTGTTTGTATTGATACCCCCTACTCCTTGGCCACATTTCTCACACTTACCCCTTTTCTTGCCCCTGTGTCTCAATGCCAGCTCCTCTTTCAGCCCAGCATCCTCTTCTGACTCTCTGTCTTGGTGGCACGTGGCTAAGAAATGAGCCCTCCAAGTTTTGGTGGTAGTTGTTGTTGTTCCCTGACAGCACCTTTGGATGGCTAAACCCTGGTCCAGGACCTGTTAGTGTGCTTCCCAGTGCTGGGAGAGATTTCTTGCCGGGGTTTGTAAGAATGATGTAAATGGATCCGACATCCTGGCTATAAAACATCTGTAACATTACACATTTAGTTATGTTACTAGGGACTTGAGTTCATTTTGATGGGTGATATTTTATCTGCTACTTTCCCCCTTCTGAAAGCAAAGCTTTCTGTAGAGGAGGATTTATAGAAATATATTCCCAGCACAAAAAAAAGTCCTGCACATTAAGACGTTGGAGTAAAGGAGAAATAATGTCTTTTTGTGGAGACCTTGGCTGATTTATCTCTTGCTTGGTAGTTTGGTGTGACCTTCCTAGCTAGGAACAATATCTTTTTATTCTTCCTTTAGTAACAATAATGTCACTAACAATGTCTTGCACTATTCTAGCATCTTCAAATCAGCCTTTCAGCGGGTTGGATGTTTCATGAGTGAAGCCTCACGGGCTCCGTTGAGCTGTGGGGGTATATTTTTGTTCTTTTTGTGGAAATCAAGGCACATTGCACTCGATCGTGCAACGTACTCAACCTAATGAGGCTTCCCCAAACGCTGCGCGTTAAAATGTGTGCCTAAATGCTGAGCCCTGCAGACTCCAGCTGAGCTTCTCCCCAGGCTCTTTGATACATCAGCCCTACAGAGACTGAAGTGACTTGCCCCGTGGTCAAGAAGTGAGCAAACATCACACAAGGGAAGGAAGCTCTTGTAGCTGCACGGTGCTGCCTTCCCTTGGAAAAAAGTAGGAATGTTTTCTCTTGTCTTGCTTCCACTCTTCATTCCTGATGCTGCTCCTCAGGGGCCCTTTTATTCCTAGTCAAGGGTTATTTGATGTGCTTTAGAGCGACAACTATGTTGCTTTCATAATGGCTGGTGGGTTCCCTCCCTGGCAAGGGAAGCATCTCTCTTTTGTGAAGGTAGCAGTACTGTAATTCCTGCAATTCACCAACCCCTTTGTGTGGGGGGAAGAGGAGAGAGGAAACTGCAGCATTTCAGAGAATGGTGGAAGTGTTTCAGCAGCAGTAATAGGCAAATCTGGGCATTTTGCAAGATTTCAGTGGTCTCGCATCAGAGGAGATCACCCTTGTGAAGAAGCCAAGCAGCATGTTGTATAGACATTAGCTTGACTCAGCAGATGAAGTAAAACTTGCTCATCAGTAACTGATTGCCATGTGCATCCATATTATGTAGATGAAATTAATCAAGGCTAAGGGTTAAAGTTTTCCATTTGTTCTTTTCAGAGAAATCATCTGGAGTACGTTGGGAGGGAGGTAAATTGCTTCACGCGTTTCTCTTCCCTTCCTGTGAATTCCCCTTGCTTGAGCAGAACGTTATCTAGACTCTTACCAGAGAGCTCTCAGCACTGATTTGACAGGGTTATCATGAGGAATTAGTTGATACTAACTTAGAAGTACTTAAATTATGTTCTGCTTTCTGCTCTGTAGAGGCAATAAACTTCTCTTTGGAGTGACCTCAGTGCTTGGAGCTGGGAGAATCTATAAACTCCCCCAGAATGCCTCTTCTCAGCCTCTGCATTGGGCTGTGCTGTTGGATTTTGTTAAATGCTACCTTAAACCTCCAAATGCATTTCTTCCTTCTCCTTTTTGTGAGTGCATGCTCAAAGAAAGGGTCACTGCCAGCACCAGAAAGGCCATTGTAGCTGTAGAACCACATGTGTTTGGGCATACTGACAGAGCAAGCTGCTTGCATGCTCAAGGAATGGCTGGTGGAATGGTGGAACTGCTTCCTCCATGGTGTGGCAGTGCGAGTGCGTGGGCTTGGGAAGCCCACTTGGTTGGTGGACAGCAGCCTGTGGTTGAACATGGCTTTGTCTGAGCTTCCTTGGGCCATTTGGTGCTCAGCCTTGGGAAGGGCTTGAGGCTGGCGAGTGGCGCCACAGCTTTTCAAGTGTGGGCCTTTGGGATCAGGTGTCTTTGGAGCCTTCCTCCACATTGACCTTGAGCATGCCCTTGTAAACGTGTTCTTTCACAATTGGAAGACACAGGTTTTCTGGTTGTATTGCAGATATGGCACATGATGGTTCTTCCTAGAAGAAGGTACGGTATAAATAATGGAATTGATGAACGTTGTAGTGCTCCCTTCATGCTGTGTCCCCATCAGATACTGCTGCCATGTCTTTGAACGCGAGGTCCCTGGGCACAAAGCCATCCCTGCCTCTTGCCTGCACAAGGTGAAGTTTTGCCAGTAACCTGTAGATTTAGGACTGGAGTCTTAATTGCTTCCCATTGAGACCTTTGTCCCTGTGCTACATGGGCATTGCAGAAATCCCCCCCATGCACAGTCACATTGGGCAGTGCTCTGCATCTGCAGTCCTGAGGTGTGTTCATTTAGAAATAATTATCTTAATTTAACCTTACTGCTGCAGGTTTTAAGCTGAGGAGTAATCAGGCCTTAGAGGAGCTGTCTGCACTCAGCTAATGTGGGGAGCTGCCTTCCTCACCATACCGTGTGTGAGGAGCTAAAGCAGCCAGGGGGACTGACATAGCTGTTCCTCTGGGTTCCCCTCTGCCTGCCTCTGAGCCTTCCTTCTGTCACCCATAAAAGAGTTAACTGCTAGAGCAGGGTGGAAGGGAGCAGCCCTGGGGGATATGATATAACTGGTTATAGCAGGGCTGTGGGGCTGGGATCTGTTCCTGCTCTCCAGAGGGGGGGCAGTTTGGCTCGGGTGGTTTTTGCTGTATCTTTTGATACGAAGCTTGAAGCCAGATTCTGGGGCTGATTTTCAGGAGATTGGGTGTGCCATGAAGGGAGCTCTTCGTGGTGGTGCATGTGAACGGGTTGCTGTGCCCAGGGTGCAGGGGGTGGCTTGCAGGGTGCTTTGGGGAGGGTATGGGATGCTCCCCCCTGTTCCCAGGGGTAGGTTGTGGCCTGTGATGGGCTGCTGTTGGTTAACTGTACCTGTGAGCGAATGAGGGGCTGGCCCTTCCAGGGGGACAAACAGGAGAGCTCAGTTTGGTCGTGGTTGGGGAGATGAGCAGGAAGGGCTGTGCTGGCCCCAGGCCAGGTTTGCTTGTGAAACACCACAAATGGCTTCAGTGATTGCTGCCAATTCAGTCTGTCACAGAAAAACCACTTTGTGTGTTCTGCCTCCTGCTGATGCCATAGTCATGGAGGGAGGGAAGTCAAACACCAACCCAAACCTGACCCTCCCAAAGGTAACAGCAAAATCAGAGACAGCCAAAACAGGGACAAAGTCAATGGGTTTGTTTATGGATGGATACGGAGAATACAGCCCATCTGTGTTGTCCACAGCAGTCGAGGGAACTGATTTAGCCAGCTGGGAATCTGTGCTGCTCCTCCGGATCAAAGAGCCCTTTCATTCCTGCATACCTTCCTATAGCCTGAGTTGGTTCTCAGGGGATGGCGTTAGCTTGCACAGGGGTCAGGCACAAGGTATTTGCCCTGGTTAAGTCTTGCTGAAATCCTGTTTTGAATCCTTAAGGCACGTTACATGTGGCATGTAAAGCATTGTTGCCTTTGCACAGGATGGAGTTCCTCTTGCTGTTGGGGAGCTCAAGAGTCTCATATTTGCTTAGCTGATGGTACACGGTCAGCAAAACATGTCCATCATTTGTCAGCCATACAGTAATGCCTAGGGACAGGGATGGATCCTGGGTGTTCCTTGGTGAATGCAGGAAGGAAGTCAGCGTTCAGCACATGTTGCTTTGCATCATGTTTCAGTTTGGGGTTAATAGCTTTTTGGAACTTCCTGCGAGGATCCTGGAGGCAAAAGGGAATTCTGGAGAATTCTTGCTTATGGTTTGTGCTCTGCCAAAGCAGCCCAGCAGTTTAGTTAACAAGATCACTTCCTGTGTTACACGAGTTAGTGTTGGTTTTAATTAGAGGTAATGCTGTAGTTTGAATGTACAACACAATGGGGTATAAAATGCAGTTCAGCATATATAGCAAAGATGATTTTTCCAATTGTAAAGCTATTTAGAAGGCGGGTACATTGGAAATGATGATAAGTCAAGCTGCAGGTTAGGTGAGCAAGCTGGAATGCGCATGCAGCCACGCATCCGCGGGGCTGTCCAGGGAAGAGGGAAGTGCTCTGGAGAACAGGTCTGTGTGCATAATTAGCTCAATCTGACATTAATGCTAATTTCAGCGTTTGTGATGCAGGCTCACTCCTAGCACCCTGGTCCACTCCTACCCCACGGAGAAGCTGAGGATGCGAAGCTGTAATGAATGCTAGAGGGTGCGCACCAGAGCCAAGTTCCTGCACAGGTTTCCGGGGTGTTCTCCGAGCCTCGCGTTGTTCCTTTGCTTCAGGGCCTCCTTCTGCCTCCTGCTCATGGAGAAAGTGCTCCTGGTTTAAGTAAAGGCTTGGAGAACTTCCCGGTGTTCCTGACTGCTGCCGCGTCACTTGTTAACTGTATCGCACCTCTGGATAACCCAGGCACGTGCCTGAGATCTGAAGTTCTGGGAATTCTGCACAGTATTTCATGAGCTTAAACTCCCCTTTGGTCATTTTTAATGGTTGCAATGTCAGGCAGTTTCAGTGGGGAAAGAAAAGCCACCAAGAGACTAAGCTGGTACCTGGATATGCGGGGATGTGAATGGAGATGGAACTGGAGGCTCTGACTTTGCAGAGCTCCAGTTCCTTCATTTTCCTTGAGCGGTTTGGGATTAGCTCATGGAGTGTATTGACGTGTTTGGGGGGAGGATTTTTGTTTCCAGAGACTCTGTCTTCAGCCTGTTGTAGAGATTCCCCCGATACATCCCGATCCAATCTTAATTACATCCTTAACCTTGCAGGAAGTGGCATAAAATCAGAAGACTCATCCTGCTAAAGCAGGGCGCTGTTCTCTTGCTTCTGCACCACCTGGAGCGTCTGCTCAGCTTCAGAACACAGAGGTGAATGTGTTTCTCAAAAGCCAAGGCAGTGAAGAGCTTGTCACCTCGGCTGGCTCTTCACAGCAGTAGTCACACGTGTTTTGATTAACTGCAACCCCAGCACAGCACACAAACAAAGCAATTCTGCAGGTACTTACAATTAACGGGCTCTGTAACCAGCCTTAGATCTCACTGTCCCCTGTCGGTTCCTTCTGCAGCGAGACGGAGACGCCTTCAGTATACAAAAGCTTCAAACCCATCTAAGATCTGCTTTTGCAGAGCCCTGTGATAGTGAGTGATAGATGAATTCTGCTGCAAATTCCAAACAAAGACATGAAGCTGGAAGTGGTGCGGTTTCGGTGTGACCCAGGCCTCTCGGAGTCATTCATAAAACATGAGCTTGTGATTGATTCACACAAATCACTTCCCATTGCCTGGGCGCTGCTGTTCCACCCCAGGCAAGGAGCAGATGGAGCCGCTCTCTGAAGGGCTTGAACCCCAAATCACTGCGGGTGACTGAATCCTTTTGCTGTTTGTGGGAGCCCCCCCCCCACTGCTAATGACCTCCAGAAAGCAGATTCTAAATTAACTCACGGGGAAGGATGAGGCTCCTCAGTGGCTTTCAGTGGGGGACTGCAGGCTGGGACCCATAGGTTATAATGAAATAATTGGAATGTGTGTTTTCCTTAGGTATATATATAAATGTTTTTCTGTACTTACAGTTTTTTTGTTATAGATATGCTGATTTATTTTCTGAGCCAGATGAGAAACTTTGGTTTTAAAAAAACGTTAGTTTTTAGAAGAGAAACTCCTCGCTTGGCTCAGTTCCTTGTGCCTTGATCATTTGTCATCTTTAATGGTTATTTCTTCCTAATCTAACTCTCCCCTCTGGCAGGTTAAAGCCATTCCCCTTGGTCTGTCCCTACATCCCTTATCCAAAGCCCCTCTCCAGGTTTCCTGGAGCCCCTTTAGGAGCTGCCCTAAGGTCTCCCCTTCAGGAGCCTTCTCTTCTCCAGGCTGACCCAGCCCAGCTCTCTGAGCCTGGCTCCAGAGCAGAGCTGCTTTAAAACCTGTTCCTGGTGATTCAGGGACTGACCCCGCTGAAGGTGCAGTGAAATCCCGGAGATGGGGAGTACTTCTGGGTATTTGTACTGTTTCTTGAACGCTCTCTCATGTTCGGCCAACGTGTTTGCAAACCTTTGGTATTGGACTGTCTGTGCTGCGAGGCTCCGGGCTGTGGGTCTGGTGCGGGGCTCTGGAGAGCTCTGCAGTGTTCACCCCAGCGAAGCTCTGCCTCCTCTGTTGGGCTGGCGAAGGAGGATTTGCAGGTTAGAGCAGGACTTGGAGGCGTTGTTTCCAGTTGGTCCCAGTCCCGCCGCAGTCATCTAATAAGTGCGGAGCGGTGGGGCTGTACCAGCACGGACAAGTCAGCAGCGTGCAGCAGTTACCTGGCGTTGGGGTTGGAGACAGCACCGGGGGCTTCCAGCACAAACAGCAGCTCCTCTGCTCGGCTGGGGCTGCCCTGGGTGCCCTGGGCTCTGTCCGAGCTGAGCACGGTGCTGGTCTCACCGCTGGCTGTGGGCAGCCCCGTGGCACCGTGGTGGGATCCAGATCCATGGGGGAAGAAGCTGGTTTTCATCCCCATGCGTGTGTCTTGGCCACGTCTCCTGGGGTGATGGTTGGGGTTGGGGGTGAGAAGAGGACTCCGTGGTTGAGTCAGATGGGGCTGAGCCCATGGTGGGTCTGGGGCGCGTTGGTACCTTGTGCTGTGGGTGAAGGGAAGGCGATGAATCCTCCTGTTGAGGCATGTTGGGATGGGAGAATTGCCCAGGCTACATGGTACTTGTTTTCCTTTGCTGAGGGGAAGATATGTACCAAGGCAATCGAGCTGTCTCTTCAGGAGCAGGCAGATTGTAAAAGCAGGCTTAATTTTGTGCTTCACTTTTGTACCAAAGAGCTGATTTCTGAACCCATTTCCCAGCCCGCAACACATCTCAAGGCATTAAAATATTGTGAATTTGCTTGTCATTGCCAATATTTCCTTTGACTGAAGCTATTGAAACAAAGTAGGGTTTTTTTTCCTTTCTTCCTTAACCTTCAATCTTGCCTCTAAAAGAAGGAGCGCTTTTCTGTCTTTCTTTCTTGGTCAAATATAAAAATGATGATAATTTCAAATATTGCTTTAGAATAATTGCTTTCCTCCCCCTTTTGTATGACAACAGAAGCTTGGCCTGATCTTAAATCAGATGCTGGCAGGCAGAGGGCTCTTGACAGCCCTGCAAAATCCTTTAGTTACAAGTCGGCTTTAGCCAATTCTTTATTTGTAAATGACAATTTTCTACAGAAAAATATATGCTTGGGCTTCAATTTGGGAGCCCAGATTGCGGCCAGGGAAAATAATTGAATTTTTACACTGGGTTTTTTCTGTCTTTTCTTCCTAACTTAGGAAAAAAAACTCAAGTGAAGCTCTGTGAAGCACAGTAGGGGCTGATGGAGGGGAAATACCCACCCTGCTTCATCTGAGCAGCAGAGACAGCAGGGATGTGCTGTTTAATGTGTTCTGCACTGAGAGTGTTCGGGGCTCCTGCTAGGTTTTGGGGGGATGGCTCAGTTCTGTGCCTGTGCTACACAGCACCCTGTGTCACAGGGCCGGGGGGGCAGTTTGGGGAGCCCCACTGCTCACAGTGGGTCTGATGTGTGTCCAGTCAACTGCCCTGGGGTGTTCCCTTTGCATTGCTTCAGCATCCGCTGGCTGTGGTGTAACCAGGCAAGTCCTGGTGCTGGAGTTTAGGGGGCATTTTTTGCCTCTGGTCTTTGTAAGTTGGCTCCTGTCGTACAGAAACCAAACTGAGGTGCTTTACCATGAATCTGTTAGTGATGTGAGCGTTGGCTTCAGAACATCTCTATGTGGTGGGGTAGGCTGCTAGTGAGCTAAGGTCACTGCCTGCTCTAAGCTGGGGCATTTCCCTCTGTCCAAGTGTATGGGGATGATGCCAACCCCGTCAGAGCATGGTGACAATGTTGTCCTGGATCTGCCTTGATTTAAGGTGTCCCACAAGGGTCAAACGGTTTGGGATCAGCCCACCAAAGGCACCAGCTTCCACTGGCGCCGTTAGGGATCTGAATCCTGTCCATCTCAAAGGGCTTTGGGCTGTGGGTGATGGGTTTTGTGGCAGAATGTTCTCTGTTGGGAGTCCAGCGTCATCCCTGCACTTTGTATGGACCAAACTCAGGTGTGCGTGGGTCAGCGGGAGGAGCTGGGTGCTCAGCTGGGGTCCTGGGGAGCACAAAGGAGTTTCTGATGGGCCTGATCCAGCCCTAATGGACAGCGGTACCATAAACGTTTTGGGTGGGAGGGTGGTTTGCGGCAGCTGGAGGAGCCCTGGACCAGCAGCTCTCACCATCTTCCTCAATGTGGTTGGTTCTAAAGTAACTGTGCAAGTTCATGTCAAACTGACCCATGGAAACTGAATAGCACAACTCTGCAATTCGATGTAATCACCTTTTGCCTTCCAAGGAGCATGCACTCTGCCTTTAGGAGGGGGAATGGCTTGTTGTCTTTGAGACAGCAGCTATGAGTGAAGGAGCACTTGGGCTCCTTCACTTCTCTTGGCATTGAGAAGCACAATAAAACCCACTTATTAAAACAAAATATCCAGGGGCTGCAGTTGTTATTGAGAGGCTGTGCTCAGCCGTGCCTCGGATAAAACCCAAGCAAGACGGAGGTGGGGGGGAAAGTATCTAATCAAATAGAACCTGAGCTGCTCTGCAAAGGCATATTCCCATTAAGTGGGTTAGGGATGGCTGTTGCTGTTCTGCGCGTGCCGTTTGAAATAACCTGGTTAAACCATGTGCTTGTCTTGTAATCTCTTCCAGATGGTCACAAGAACAAAGAAAATATTTGTGGGTGGCTTATCGGCTAACACGGTAGTGGAGGACGTAAAGCAATACTTCGAGCAGTTTGGCAAGGTAAGGTCCTGCCCCGGAGCGCGCGGCGCGGTTTGGATTCCTCTCCTTTGCTTTCTTCCCCCTGTCTTATTGAAGCGTGGCTTGAAAACAAAAGCGCAGGGAGTTCTGTGCTCGGGGGCGGCCACGCTTGGTGCCTCGCCTCGCAGGGTGATTTGTTGTAGCCTCTGGAATCCCTGTTCTGTTCGGTGCGTGTGTACCGCACTGCCAATGCTTGTGTCATTAAAGAGAGGCACTGGGAGGTGAATCTGTGTGTGTGTAAATCAGCCTTCTGTTCAGCCCTGACCGCAGTGGCAAAAGGAGCAGATAGACCTGTTGGAGGGAGCTCATTAGGTGGTGAAAATGCCTGGAGGAGCCAGTGAATAGGCAGAGTAATGTGGGAGCCTCTGGAATATCCATCCCATTTCTTATTTAAACATCCTCATGCAAGATGCTGTGGAAATTTATGTAGAATCCTGACATCATTTAAAAGAAAGTGTATGCACAGCAGGAATCCTGACCCTTGCCAGAATAGCCCTTTCTGTGATGGAACAGCTCAGACCCCAGGCTGTGACTGGGGCTTAGTGCCATCACCTTCCATGGAGCTTCCTGGACCCCAAGGCTTTGGGATGCTTGGTCAGGAGTCCAACAAGGTGAAGGGCTTGCAGAGCCAGCTGCTCCAAGAGCAGTTCATGGTGTCACCTTCCATGGAGACTCCTGTCAGCCCCACTGCCTGCAGGCTCCATGCAGCTCAGTTCCTGTCTCTCAGGTACACCAGCTGATGGTTTGGGTGTGTGATTGCATGAAGACACAACAGGATATCCCAGAACAAAGCAGCTCCCATTCCTTGTAGTTCATTTATGTTTCTCTTATCTGCCCCCAAAGCCTTGGTCGTGCAGTGCTTTGCTGGGGGCTGAGGGGGTGAGTTTATAAATGATCCCTGTGCTGGATTGATGGTTGTTTTGAAACCTTTCATGTTATTTGCAATAATAATCTTCGATTCTGGCAGGATGTTTACAGCCTGCTGAGCCTTTTATTAAAGGATTACACGAGCTTTTGGATGTTTCTTCTGTAGTTACTTCTAATTGCAGAACTCTTCTAACCTGTATTTTTGAAGTTAATAATAGTTTCAATAGAAGTGCTTTGCATATTGTCTGGATGCTGCCTTAATATAGTCTTTTTTAATTTCACCATCTGGTAGTTTCATGCTTGCAGTTTTACAGTCCCTGAGATTGCAGACAACGAGGCTGTGTTTTTCAGGAGTGACTAGTGGTTCGGGACACTTGAGTCCTGCCTTTCTTGAGGTGGCTTAAAAGGGGTTTTCCTTTCCAAAGGCAGTGCTTCTGGAAAACCAAGTGAATTTCTCAAGTGTCTTAATTTGAAGGCTTAAATTAAGGTGCTGAAGATAATTGCCCAAGGTGTGATGGAGGCTGGAGCCTGTTCCTCTGGCAGTCTGTGCTGCTGAGGCTGCGTGGTCCAGTCCTTAGAGGCCAGCTCCTGTAGGACTCGGGCTCACAGGGCTTGGTCTCTGTCATACCAGGCGACATTTTCCAGGTGGATCCCTGTTTGATGCTTCCCTGTTCTAGCTTGTGAGGAGGAGATGAGTTTGGTGAGGTCGGTGATGTTTTGAGGAGAAGCTTCTTGGCCCTGTCACTGTGTCTCAGCCTTGCATTCAGGATCTCTCTGCTGTGCTTTGCTGCTTATGAACTGAGACAGTTTGGGTTGTGGAGTGTTTCAGGTGCCTCTCCCCAAGGCTCTGGTGGTGAGGAGATGCAGAGCTGTTTAATGACCCGAGGAACCTGTGGTCCAGCTGAATTAGAAGACTCATTAATGTGCTGCGGTGGGTGTGATGTTACATTCAGCTATAATGACCCAGAACTGGCCCTGTGGGACCCTCTGGGAGCTGCTTCCTTCTTCATTTACTTCCCCACCTTTCCTTGACTCCCTTGCTCGCATTGCAAGCCCTTTGTGGCAGGTACTGGTGACCCATCCATGCACTGCTTAGGGAGCAAGCTTCGCTCTCCAGCCATTGCAACGCAGACAGCGTATGGTGATGGATTAGTAAGGTTTGCATTTGCTTAGCACCTCCTTAAAATAAAGCAAATTGCATTAGCTAAGGTGCAGGGGAGCCACCCATGTTTGATAAGAGCATCTCAGGTGACTTGCTCTTTGAAAGGCTGAGCTTATTTATTGGTGTGGAAAGAATTGCTTACCTACTGCTGCGATTCTTGAAATCCTGTTTGTACTTGCTGCAGAGAAGAGCTTTGCAGCCAGGGGAGGTTGTTTTGGTAACTGGATGTAGCTCTCAGCATACCCAGCGTGTTTAGAACAGCTCCCAGCTTTGGGGCTCGCTCCTTTAACTGGAGCTGGCAGCGGAGGCCGTGAAGTGTTGAATTGGAAACTGCAGCTTTTTGGGAAGTAAATGCCAGGATCTTTTTTTCCTCCAATAAAAAGTGCTTTAATGAACCCTCTTCCCTGACTGCACCACTTAAAACGCCTCCTGTGAGAGCACCAAAACGCGTGGTAATGAAAACTCCTGAGACTTTGATTGTGAAATTCCTGATAGTGTTTGTTATTTCTTCCTATAAAGGCCAGGGTGTGCAGGAGTCCCAGCTTTGATTTCAGGAAGATGGGCATCCCTGGCTGCCGTAAGCTGTGGAGGAAAACTGGGGAATCATAGAATCATGGAATGGTTTGTGGCTAAAGGGACCTTAAAGCTCATCCAGTTCCAACCCTTGCCACGGGCAGGGACACCTTCCACTAGAGCAGCTTGCTCCAGGTCCTGTCCAGTCTGGCCTTGACTGTCCTGGTACCCGATCCTGGTGGTCTAAGGCCACCAGGTGTCTGTGATGCTCTGTTATTTCAGTCAGAGATGTTTCTAACATTCTGGCCAACAAAATAATTCATCGGCGACATGACCCGTGTGCAGCACTGCCCTTGTGCTGGGTGAAAAGCTGGCTGTTAAGAGCAGGTTGTAAATGAGGAAGTGCTGGAAGTGAGGCGATCCAAAGGGAAGCTCAGTGGGGCTGCGCTTCCCTCTCCTCTGGAGATGCCGCAGGTGCTGCCTGGAGCCATCAGCAGGTCTGTGGCTTTCTGGAGGTGTAAGCAAAACGGTGCTGGAGGAGATCAGGACGAGTTGGAGTATTTCAGGCTTCTGGTATCATTGAAATAAAAGGGGAAAAAGAAGCAAGAGCCTCTGAAAGCCTCACCCTGGCTGTGCCCAGCAGAAGAAAGCCCCCAGCCACTAAGGAGCTGCACTTCTCAGGACGTGAGTGTTCTGCACCTTTTCAGCTGGACGGGGCTGATGCTGAGGGGGTTCTTAGGGTCCGTTTTTACTGGGTAATGCTCCCTTCAGAGAGCTCCTGTGAAAGTTGTGCAGTCCTTAGTTTGCGACTTGCAATTATACTTCACATGGCGAACTGTGTAATTAGTTTGGAAGACTTATGCCTAGTCATTGGTTTATCCTAATCGGCTTTGGCTTTTCCCAACAACAAAGTGAGCTTATTTTCCTAAGCTGAAACAACTCTGCTCCCTTTGTTCCTCTCTTTTATTGTCTCATTCCTTTCATTCTGTTTTACTGCCAAAGTTTTGTTTCATTAGGCCTACAAGTCATTTCCAATCCAGTGGGCTGCTACAATAAGGCCTTTATAACTCAGCTGCCCTGGTTCCCATGTCCCTTCTGGTCTGGAGCCAGGACTTGCTGTTTGACATGGGATTTTAACCCTTTCGGTGCCCGAGCTTCCAGCACCCCCTTTGTCCTCATCAGAGAGGTAAAGGCTGGGATCAGGGTGGCTTGGTGGGACCACGGGATGAGCCCATGGACCCAAACGGTCGCCTGTGGCTGTTAATGGATGTGTCCATGTGGTTGGGCTCCAGGTACAACGTTTGGACCCAGTTACCACAAACCAATTCCAAGTAAAACTCTTCGGGCTGGAATGCTGTAATGAGCCTTGGTGGGAACAGCCCTCTGAATGAAAAGGCCGCTGTGTCCTTGCAGCCGCTGCTTCCAGCATGATGGGAGCAGGGTTGTGTTGAAGGTACGTTTCAGTTGTCTTGAGCTGTTGGATCAGCCCGTGTATGAGTGGTGGCGTAGCAAAAATGCTGCTTTGTTGTGTGGGAGAGAACCCGTTCAGATTGATACCCTTGAACAAGAATGGTGATTTGTAGATGAGATGTGGAAATAGTTCTGTGGGTAAACAGTAGTTTTCCATACTGTTATTTCTAAGTGCTGCAAGAGCAGTGCTGCTGCTGGTGCTTCCAGCTGCTTTCCTCCCCCGAATCATCTCAAGCAGGAGCATTTGCTCCACTTTCGTTCCTTCGCAGCAATCCTAAAGCGGTTTTTGGGGAATGGGGCTGTGGCATCTGCTTTTTACTTGGGATTGTCAGATGGAATTGGAACCAAGCGCTGTGCATGAATCCTGTTTTGTGTTCTGGCTTGCCACGAGGCCCCCAGACAACTTGCAGGCGTGTTTCAACTCTGCTTGGAGTATGTTGCTTCCTCAAGAATGGCTTTTAAGGTTTGGGAATTTTGAAACAAGACAGGATTTCACAATTACCTCTCTGGATCTGAAGGGTTTTGTGCAGACACTTGTTATTTCCCGTGAGACGCAAAGCAGGCCAGTGGCATAACAGCATCTTGCTTCTGATGATGGGGGGGTTTGCTGTGAAACTGTTGAGCTGCTGAAGGCTTGTTGTTTTCTCACCTCTCCCTTCTATAGCCGGGACTTGCTGTTTAGTGGCAGTTGAGCAAGTGAGAGGAGAGTCACTTCTTTGCTCCAGGCTCAGCTCAGGAAGCTAAAGCTGGAAGCAGTGAGGAGCTTGTGGACACAAAGTGTAAGAATGAGTTTCTCCTTTGCTCGTCCATCCCAACGCACTGTAACACAGACAGCAGTGCAAATAGGGACCAGTTTAACCACTGAAGTAATCGGGTCCCTCTGCTTTCTGTGCGTGCTGGGAAGGGGAAGGTGTGATCCGCACCGAGGCGTTGAGCCCCATGGGGTGGTTTTACATAACGTGCTTCCTAT